TCTACTTTGGATTCATATTGAGGATCTTCTTTCCCCATTCCACCTCACCCCTTAGGCTGAAGGCTGTGACGGCAGACTGGGGTCCCACTTACCCTTGTTCACCCTGGCTGTTGGCTTGGCACACAAGAGCTATTCACAAACAACTGCACGCCCCACCCCGCTCCTTCCCCAGGGACAGGACAGGCCCAGGACAAGCACCTGGAAAATTCAGCCAAAGCCTGAGAGCCCTTGCTATGCTGCAAACCATCTCCACCACTGCTGGGGGTCACTTGGCACACCAATCTGGTTCATTAAATTAAAGCTATTTAAAATTACTACCCTAAGGGGAGTGGGCAAAACCCACATTAGGCAATTTGCTTTGGTTTCTGCAACATAAAATTTGCCTGGAAATAAAACGTTTTCTATCATGTGTAGCAGTGTTAATACAGAACTTCAAATGTGGGCTCCCTCCCTTCTAAATAATAGCCTTACTCTTTGGTGGCACAAGATAGGTTCATTACCACAACCAGCAGAAGCCTGACCGCTTCAAAGAGAACATTCTCCAATCGCTCCTTTCCCGCTCACTCTGGCAGCCTGAGCCTGACCTCAGTTCAAACCCATGATAAATGTTCTTTTAATGCAGAGACTTGCATAAGCATTTGAGCTTGGACTCCTCTGTTTTCCATTCGTGCTGTGAAAATCATTCACTAATTTGCTTTTATAAAACTTAGACATATTTAATATCTAGAGACAGGACACAAGGAGGAGGAGTTCACTCCACCATCACTGCCACCCATATGCCTTCCTCCCCAGGGGTCTGAACTCACAGCTGCTGCTCCTTTAGTGCTGGTGGCTTTCTTCATTTTCGCTTTATGCGCCTGCCAGGCACCCACTTTTATTTTAATTGAGCTCTAAATGATACATAACATTGTATTAGTCTTAGGTGTACAACATAATGATTTGCTATAGAGAGCAAAATGATTACCATAATAAATTTGGTAAACGTCCTTCACCATATAGTTACGAATCTTTTTTTCTCATGATGAGAACTTTTAAGATCTACTATGGTAGCGACTTTCAAATATTCAACACAGTATCATCAACTATAGTCACCATGCTGTACATTATATCCCCAGGACTTACTTATTTTATAACTGAAAATCTGTACCTTTTGACTCTTTTCAACCATTTCGGCTTTCACCATCTACTCTCGCGGCAACCACCAATCTGTTCTCTGTGTTTACAATCTCGGTTTTTGTTTTTTCAGATTCCACATACAAGTAAGATCATACAGTATCCTTCTCTAACTTATTTTACTTAACATGATGCCCTCAAGGTCTATTTATGTCGTTGCAAATGGCAGAATCTCCTTTTTTTCTGAATAATATTTCCTTGTGTGTGTGTGTGTGTAAATAGTCCATTATATATATTTTTTTTTTTTTCTTTATTCATCCACTGATGGACACTTAGGTTGTTTTCGTGTCTTGGCTATGGTACATAATGCTGCACTGAACATGGGGGTGCAGATACCTTTTTTGAGTTAGTGATCTGGTACCCATTCTTTCTATGGCTCTGCCAGCCCACATTTTAGACAAGGTTCTGTGTGGGTCACATTCAAAGTTCATTTTTTTTCTCTCTGAGATAGAATTTGTACTGACGAGGAGGTTACAGGTATATGGCAAGATTTATGAAAGAGTGAGCAATTTTTTGCGTTATCATCTTCTTAGTACCAAACCATAGCTCTCAAGTGAAATTTCAGAAAGTGTTGCTTCCTTCTTACATACACTTAAGAGAAGGGGTATTTAACAGAGACAGAAACAAGTCAATCTTTCTGTGTCTCACCCGGACTAGTGATATTAAGGCGGCACCCCCACAGGGCCCCCAGTTAGAGCAGAGCAAATTTATGGTACATGTTTAAAAGAATCTCTCGACTGTGAGAATGCGAATAGGTTGCAGAAGCTGGTGTCCGAGGAGATCTTTAGGACCATACAACCACCCAGTACACTTGGCCGAAGATGAGCACTGCGAAGAGGGCTGGGGAAAGGGACTTTTGAAGGCTGTTCCTACCCTGGGATTTTTGCCATGCGTGCAGTCCGCCTCTGGCCAGAGCCAGACTAAGGTGCTATCCTCCAACTTTCGCTTACGTGCCTGCATATCAACAAATGTTTCTAGCTGTACAACTTCCACTCTATTGTGAGCCTTCCCTCTCACATAGAAACTTCAGCTCAGCAGAGAAAAAAATTGAGCTTTCTGGGCCAGACAACAAGAAACTTTTGTTTGCACAGGCCTGTACATTCATCTCTTCATAGATAACACAACTGTTGAAGATCAGAATTCTGAACTGCTGTTTGTTTCCAAAAGTTCTTGAAGAAAATGCCACCTCAAAGCCACTCAGAGATTTATTCTTTGAGTTCAAAATTTCTGATGAGAACTGCAATTTTTGCCATTTTTCAAGAAAAGCATGAATTAGACACTTATAGTAAGAAGAGGAAATGGCTTACAAACTATCAGCGTTAATTCTTGAGATTCCGTTTAATTACACAATACTCTACTTCCTCTTCCTCAATTAACATGAACAAGCAATTGTCTGAAATATTAAATATACAAAACCACAGCAAATACTAACGAATCCTAAAATTGTGTATGTGTGCTCTTTATGAACAAAGAAAAGCTGACAGCATTATAGAAAGAAAAGACTAAATAAGGGAGAGAGTACTCCCCCTCGCCAAGTTCCTTGGGGATTCTAGGAAACCATTTTTCAAGTTTATTTATGATTTTCGAAAGCATAGACCGATAATAATAAATAGCTTTTAAATCTCTGGCCACAACCACCCAGAGTAAATTGCTCCCTTATTTACCTAGAGAGAATAATTATCAAGTGAAAGATCCTCTCTTGTTCCTCAGCCATGATTTGCTTTGAATGCATCTATTCAGGTCACATTCAATTTTTTTCACATATGCGAACACTTAGACATTGGAATAAGTTTCCTGTTAGCTGTCACTGTGTATTGTTTTTCAACTTCAAAAAAAAAAAAAAAGATTTAAAAGATTATCAAATAAAAAATATCCAAAGCTTAGAACAAATCCTCGTATTGTATTCTCAACTACTTTATATCTCTCTTATCACAAGGTTAGATTAAGCAATACTTTTGGCTGTTTTCCCAAACACCCAGACATATTTTATATGAAGTGTGAGTCATGTCGGCATTGCTTTCAGGGTTTGGGACAGTCTCCTTGGAGTAAAGAATAAATGGCAGTCTTAAATTATTGGTGATGATGGATTGGGAACTAGACATTTATCCAAGTGAAGAAAAATAAAATAGGAAAATGTTGCCTGCCAACTTTAAATAAAAAGAGCTGATTGTCTTATATGAGTTGTGTCAACTAAGAAGTATGGGATTGTGGCAGAGCCTGAAAAGAACGAATGTTAGAGGCGAGCTCCCTCATGAATGAAATAATTTAAACTCTAGAGCAAACTGTGGACTTCTAAGAGTTTTGTGGGGAAAGAAATTACTATTTTCCTCCGTCCCATGTTATTTTCTGTGTGGTAAAGTTTCATAATGGCAATTTCAATAGACAGTGAAGTCAGTAATTTCCTAAAATGTTGATTTTAATCCAAATGCTATTTAACAAACGTGATAAAACAAAAACGATGAATGTATTTGTACCTAGATCCTTGGCCCTCTTGACATCCTCATCTGAGGAGAGTTTCATTTCTGCCAGGCCAATTTTTGTGTTTTTGAATCAAGATATCAGACTGAGGAAAAAAGAACCAGAGAAACAGGAGGAAAAGGAGACAGCGAGGAAGTCTTCACTGATGTGACTCAGTGCTGTCCCAAACAAACGTAACATGAGCTACATATGGAATTTAACATTTTCTAGTAGCCATATTCAAAAAGTAAAAAGAAATAGGTTAACTTAATCCTAAATATATATTTTAATGAACCCAATATATTTCAAACATTATCATTTCAAAATGTAATCCATATAAAAATTAGTAGCCAGATAGTTTACATTTTTTTTTTTAATATCAAGTGTTCACAACCAGAGTTTATTTTACACTTAAAGCACATCTCAATTCCCTAGCCACATTTCAAGTGCTTAATAGTCACATGTGGCTAGCAGCTACGGAATGGACAGCACAAATCTGGATGATAAATTCCTGAGATAGGGGAGTAGAAATGAAGAAGAAAAACCATTTGGGCTACGGGTTTGGGAGTTATGAAGAGATTTTGAAGAGGGACGTGCTGGAACAGCTGTGAGCTGTCAGGTCAATATATAGAATTGCTGTGCAGCAGGTACTTAGATCCCTTTCAGAATTTTCAAAGAGTAAAAATAAAATATTTGAGTAATTTTGAAAGTAATTTGGGTAGGTGGACTGTGTTTCTTGAAACTGGACCACTTGGTCCTGGCTTTATAAGGGTTATATATGCAACATGGATGGAGAAGAGGTAGGCAAAAATGTAGGGAAGAAAGACACTGGTGGTTGTGGGCAGAGGCCAGAGCTTTATTACTATTTACATCTGCACAAAGAATGCCTGTCCCTTGTCTGGCATGGGTCACAACCAACCCAAGAGGGCACAAAGTCAGTACATCAATCAGATACAAGAGAGGATATCAACTGGAATGGCTCATTTGTGTTTGCAGCAGTGGTCTCAGAACCCTTGGAGATAGGCGTGGCCACTTGACACAGATCCTGACATGCAGTGTAGTGGGGGTTGGTTACCCTGGCTACAACAGTGCAGAACAGGATAAAGGATGCCGGCTGCCATCCTGTTGCCTTTGGATGCTGTGGACTAAAGGTGCACCACAATCAGAACACAAACAGGAGAGATCGACACTCAGGACTCCATATGCAGCTCGTGCCCAAGAATCAAGGTTGCCCAGAGCTGTGAACGCATCCTACGTCAGATGAGAGTAAACGTCATCCCAAATCAGCCTGCCAGCACTCTTCTGGTGGCCAATCTTGTGAGATCTTGTGAAAGAAATACCATGCTGCCCTGCGAGAGTGATCTACTCACCAGACCATCTTCCTGGAAATGGAATCTGTCCATAGGGTTTCAGAATAATCCCATGGATACGGTTCCTTAGAGCATCTGGTCCACCCCACAGAAGAGAAAGAGCATGCCCTAAATGGAAGAAATAGGAACCGGAGTTCACACAGATGGAACCGATGGCTCCAGGGGTCCCAGGCATCAAAAGGGACTTAGAAAATTTCAAAGAAGTTACTCTAAAGCATGTGATCCCACTTTGCAGGTCTAAGGGAATTTGGGAGGAATATAATATATCCTTGAGGACTGTGAAACCCATGCAGTTATCAGTTTTGGCAGCTAAGAAATTCTCTTTGTGACATCAGTTAGTTTGATGGTGTCTCTGCTACTTGCAACTAAAAGAGCCCTGGACAATGCCAAATAACTCGATGCTTTCAAGACCAAAGTCATGGTTTCTATCCTCACAGGAGCCATTTCCTCCCTCCCAGTCCCAAGACCAAGGACATCCCTCTCCTCTATAGGTCCGAACATGCACCAGAGGTGTTGAGCAAGCAAGGCTGTAGCAACAATACAACAAAAGTCATACCCCTCTTTGGGAAAAAAACAAAACAAAACATAAGCATGTGAAAGGTCATCCCATAGAAGGATGAGACCCTGGTTTTATCATGAGTTTGTCTCAAAGTGCCTCTATGAAGAGATCTGTCTCACCATCTTCTACCCAGCTGAAAGCACCTTAGTGGCTTTACGATGCATTTAGAATACTGCGTGATCTGGCCCCAGTGTACCTGCTTCTTCAATCTCATGCCATGTACTCCCCACTCCCACTCTGTGCTTTTCAGCCATTCTGCATTTCTTGTTTCTTTACAAGTTTGGTTCTGCCTCAGGGCCTTTGCACTAGCTGTCTCTGCCATCTGGCATGCTCTTTCCTCTGTCTCACTTCTTTCTGCTCAGATCTCACCTTAAAGGAGACAGGTCTTCTCTGACCCCAATCACTCTCTCTTATCCTATTTTCCATTCCTTTAACAAGTGCTGCTATTTGATTTCTTTTGTTGGTTGTTTATTATCTGCCTCCCATTATATTTAAATTCCTTGTGAGTAGGAACTTGTCTTGTTCATAACCATATTCCCAGTATCTAAAAGAATATGTGGCACATTGTAGGTGTATAATTAATATTTATCAATTATATAAACCGAATGCACACAGTCTGTTTTGATTGACAGATACAGCTTGTCTTCTGGGGAATGTCATCCTCTTGGCTCTTTAGCTAAGGCTAAAGAGTGAATGAGTTATTTAGCTTAACAAATCACCGGGGAGCATGCACTCTGCATAGGCTCTGTCTGAGGTGATAACTGGACATGGTTCTTAACCTCCAGGAGTGCAGACTGATGGGAGAGACAGACACAACAAATCAAGACAATGTGGAAAGTGCTGTGATCCAGCTGGGGAAACAAATAAGAGAGCACGATCCTTCTGTTGCACACAGACATTGAGGCAGTGAAATCAGTGGGAAGCCACAGAGAAAGAGCCTTTAGAATATGTAGTTTCCCTCTTGCAATGCCTCAAACAGATGAATTATAAAAGCGATTCTCCCCACTCTTCTCTCTCCAGAAAGTATGGGTGTATGTGAGGCACAAATATGAGCAGTCTGTCCTGAAAGAAGGGAAAACTGAACACCAGTTACTTGGGATACTCTGTGATTATATATTCTGTTCGCATGTCAACAGCCAATTAAATTATTTATTTCCCTCAAGTGGATTTTGTATTAACCTGAATATCTGGTTTTCTCGGTGTTTTATAATCTGCTAAATTAGCTAACAGCCCCTCCTATCCTGGCTTGGGATAAAGAGATGTCAAATGAGACAAAGTAGCAGGTAGCAGGATCTCTTGCCCACTTAGTGCTTGGGAGGACTGCTAGCCATCGGTGTCCCCATAGGAGTTCCAGAGTTCCAGGCTTCCATCCCACTGCCCCAAGGGGGTTCACACCTAAGACCAGCTTCATCAGACAGCAGTATGCCACCCTGCTCTTCAGCACAGGTGCTGACTTACCTCCACCTGTCACACTTACACACTCCGTGGAATTCAGAATACAAGAAAGACCACCTGGAGCACAGGAGGCTCCAGGCCAGGTCATGAGGTCTTTCTTTGCATACCCTTATGTAACAGAAGTTACTCACTGTGCTTTAGACCTGTTACATAAACTTGGCCACACAAAAGGATCATGGCTCACTGTCAGAATGAATCAATATATATTATAACTCCTTATGGTTAAACTATGAGTCTGTCATAACATGTAAAATGAACTTCTCACTTTTAAAGGGAAGTCTAAAATTCATTTTCTGCTACATTAAACACACACATGCACATAGGTGGGATGATTCAAATAGATGAGACCTTTGTAAACTGCAAACTCATACAATTTATAGGCTACCTTATCTAAGGAAAGAGATGAACTGGAGAGGTTGGAGTTAGGCACCCCTGGTGGGACACAGGGCACTCCCTGGCACCGAGGCTGAATACTGGGTGGTTAGGATACTGGGAGGTTAAGGTTCTATTTCTTTGACCCCTAGAAGTGATCGATCAGCCCAAGGTCAACCGATCCCTTCTTTCTACAGTATTCCCACTGAATCACAGCTGCCCCAAAAGATAATGAATGTTGGAGCTCGAGGCATACTGGAAACTCTCTAGACCAATCTCTTCGTTTGTAAGGAAGCAAGAGAGTCCCAGAAGGGAGCCCTGCCTTGTCTGAGGTCACACGGCAAGTCCATGCTGGAGTCAGGAACGAAAAGCCAGAGTTCCTGAGCACCAGCCCATTGCACTCCTGGTGCACTCGTGATAGCACACTGCCTGCAAGTGTGAGGTACTTTCCACGTGCGCCTGTCCTAGTGCTCTAATGAGACTCTGATCTCTGCTGATCACTTACAGTGCTTTATTCTTTGCGATCCTTGGTAATCCCTTAATTAGAAGGTTTCTTGACTTTAGTTTTAACATGGTACTTGGTTAATAGTTGCCAATGGAGTTGCTCCCAATTTCTCATGAAAATACCTAAGACGACACAGACAAACCTCATCCTGTGAAGTAGGATCAATATTCAACCAAACGTCAGGCAAGAAATTGGGTTAAAAATGCCATTTCAGGACCACTCACTCTGTGTGCCAGAGAGCCAGCCCCGAAAACCAGAAACAGGAAGGGCTGAGCTGTCCAGAGTGCTCTCTGACTGCACAGGTGCCCCTCTCCTCAAGTCCCAGGAAGTGTAGATGTAGGGGCACTGGGCTCCACAGGAGCCTGGGAGGGGAGTCTTCACAGACATGGCACTATGGCCACCTTCGCGGACAGCAGAGCCTGGAGGCAGGTGTGCTGGGGGACCGTTCTTTCCCTGTATTCCATTTCTTTAATGTGCCAGAGAGCTTACAACAGTGTAGGAGAAGGATTTCTATTAACAGATGTTCAGTAAATAAAAACCTGCTGTTCATGAGGAACAAGGCCAGAAAATTGCACCACAATCTATGACTCAAGTATCGAACAGGGCTTTTGACAGATACCCCTGACGAGAGAGGCAGCAATGAGCATAAGCCATCACCTCTCTACTGAAGATTAATGGCTCTAGATAGATCTTCCTCCATTTGAGGATGAGTAGAGGGGCAGAATACAACAAGAAAATAATCGTGGAACATCTGGGGAAAAAGCACTCAGGTTTGCAATTTAAAAGTTTTTAATGCAATACCAGAAAAAACAAAACAAAAAAAACCAAAATTGGCATTTGGTCCAGAAGGAGCAGAGCCTACACCGTAGAACAGTGAATTAGAAATAATGCAGAGGACAAGCCTGAGACTCAAAGAGAATGCAGAGGAGAAGGACAAAGTGATGAAAATGACAAGGAAGAAAAGGGTGGGTTGCATCTTCATTCCTCATTCCCTCTCCTACCAAATCTAAGAACTGCACTTGTACATTTGGAACAAAAACAATAATTAAATATATAATTAGTCTACGGCCATGCTACCCTGAATAAGCCTGATCCCATCTGATCCTGGAAGCTAAGCAGGGCTGGGCCTGGTTAGTACTTGGATGGGAGACCACCTAGGAAGACCAGGTGCTATAGGCGTAAAAAAAATAAATAAATAAGGTATTGTAAGCTGATAAGGTCCTTGCAATCTGTGAGGTAAAACAAGGGTTGCCTCGCCTAAAAAATAAAAAAAAAATAAAAATAAAAGATATAATTAAAGAAAACTTTAGTATGCAAATTGAAAGGGCTCATAGTATTCTAAGTAAAAATGAATTTAAAGGTGGCTGCACAGAAAAGAGTTAACAAAGCAGGCCTTACACTGATATAAAACTGCCTCAATGGTAAGAGTGCCTCGCTGTGCCTAAACTGCTTTTATTAACACTGTGGTTTTTGCTGAACACCTGCTTTTCTGCTGGGAATCTGAAATTTTGGTACATGTTATGCAGAAATGCCTCTAAGATCAGACCCTAGTAATCAACTTGAGTTCTGAGTCTTTAATGGGCTTCCCTGGGCAGACACATTGCACATGCTGTCCTATT